ACACTACTTGTAGCTTCTCATGCTGAATGGGGAGACTTGCTTGTTGCTTGGAACAATGAATACCAGGTACCCCAGTCCTACATGAATACATTTCATAGTTTCGTCTTATAATCTGTAGTAAGTCTTTGGCTTGTAAACTGATACGTGCCTGGGCTGGTGGAAGAATTACAACTCTGTGATTGCGACACCACATTGTTTGCTTGTGATGTCATCTGCGTGCCTTACAAATTTTAATCCCGATGGTGGACTTGAAGCTGATGATGAAGCCCATGAAGACATACTGTATAATTTTGAAAGGGCATGAATTTGAGATATGGAGACTTGGACTATTCCAGTCTAAGTGCGCCCTTATTGAAGTTCTGCACTGGCTTTTGGCAAAGGGGAGATTACAGGGTGGAGGTCATCAGATGGTAAAGTGCAAGATTGCCTAAGCAAACTAACAATGTCTTTGAGGTCAAAGTCCTTCTGGTGCCAATAAGTCTAAACTGAAGTGAAAGAAGTTAAATGAAGTTCTTTTTAACTTGTGACTAAAATATGATTCTGAAATGTGTGTTGTTACAATCCAGAATTGCAACACATATCCAATCTTTCAAAATTACTTCATCAAACTTGCTTGTGAAGTGTAACATTTGCATATGCCATAAATGGAAGCAAAATTATATAAAAATTAAGGGTGGATTACAGTATTGGAGACTATGTTTGAGCAAGCCACTTTAGGTAGTTGCTACCACTAAGTAATTGATGGTGGGGGATGGGGGTGTTGTCTGTTTCATCCTTAATTCAGTTAAAAGTGCCCCTAACATGGGTATCTCCTGATATTGATACATAAGTTTAACACTCTGTTACAATCCCAGGCAAGCCTGCAAAGAAGAAATAAATAAATAAATAGAGACACAAGTTTCAATAGACTTTAATGCTGTAGACAATTTTTCTCCTGATGCTTTTTCTTTAATTTTATATTGCTTTTCTGTATCAATAAACTCAACTGTGATGGTTGACTGAAAACCCTCCGAGGAATTAAGTCTGTTCCAAGAAAAAGTCACAAGGTTCTGCTACATTCAAATAATCTTTTGAGTGTTCTTCAAAAAAAAAAACCCCACTATTTTTTTCCAAACTGTTATGCCCGTGGCCATATGTATAAAGTCAGTTTAGGGGCTGATATGTCACAAGCACCGTGGGAAAAATGGATTGAGGGAGATTCTGTCTTGGAGGCTAGACTAGCCCAAACATGTTGTTCCTGCTTTGATTTTGGGGGAGGGGGAATTTGAATTAAATGGAAAAAAACCTCAGAGCGTGCTTGGACAAGGCAGGATTGAAGGGGCTTATAAGTGCTAGAGGGAAGCAATACTACCTTCCATCAACCCCAGAATAATCAAAATCAAAATAACCCACTGAGTTGTTAACATCAAGCGGATACAGTAATTCTATATTACCCCTATGTTCATTCTGGTAATCTTTTGGAGAAAAGGTTGCAAGCAAAGGCTTTTATTAAAAATAATAATTAGACAGTATTGGTTTATTCAAATCTCTTTTTTTTAAAAAAAAAAACCTGGAATTCTGTAAAAGACAGGGATATAGTCTTGCCTGTTTCGGGACAACATCTTAGGAGCCTAGGTTTTTAGAATTGCTGTTGGAGGGTAATCTGTAGCTTCTTCAGGATTGGATATATCAAAAAGGAGGTGTTTATTGTTTCAAATTTTTAAAATTGTTTTGTTTTATAATTATAGAATTGTAAGGTGCCCAGAGCCACTTGATTGAGTTGGGCAGCTATAGAAATTGAATAAAGCAATTAATCAATAAACCTTGAAAGTCTGTATATCCATTAGATCCCACATTCTCCTCTTCCTTGGAAATGATGATGTTATTTTTTTTTGGTACTGCTGGAAAGAAAAAAGGATTTCTTTAAAAAGCACTAAAGGTTAAGAATTAAAAATAAAAATAAAAAGGAGAAGTGATGCACTCTCTTTAAAAATTGGCGTAATAATAAGTGATTCCCTTTTCTCTATAGAGGAAGGAACCTCTTTGACTCTAAACCGATGGCTGGCATGCTCAGGACTATTGAGGACAAGCTCATTAGTTTTATAAAGAGTTTATATTTAGCTCATAGGCCACCCAAATGCGAGGTTTATGCTGTTCATTGTAACATTAGTTTTGTTGTGGTTGCATCTGATCTTTACCTCATGAAAAAGTAGAAGGCCTACAGTCTTTACGAGGAAACTGCATATAAATCACTGAACAAATTGTGCATTTTGAAGATCCCTTGCCCTATCAGATTGCTTGCTCTGTAACTGTAACCTATTCATGTGTGATAAAGGCAAAGTTCAGAACTGAGGGTGGAGTTAAGGTCTTTTTCTCTTGCCAATCTCAAGAGTGTAATCTGTGTGCGCGGATTTTCTCACTACAGTTGTAGTCATAATGGGAAAGGATTAAATGCGCCTCAAATTCCATGATCCAGTCTGCAAAATTTCTACTACCTCACTATTGCTTAATTATTATTTTAATTAATTTGCTGAAAGTTGTTTTAAATCCCTTTTGGGAAAATAGTTGGATCTACGTTTTTTGTTTTTTTTTTAAATGTATAAATACTGATTTGATCTTAACTCCTTCCTTCCCTGACCCCTTTGCTTCCTTCCCTTTTTAAAATTTACACTTCCATTTTTTTATCCCCTTCCTGCTGTTTCTCTGCAGCCTTTTTTCTCCTGCTTCCTTGCTGTTGGTGGCTGGGCTCCTTCTCCCATGATTTTCTGCACTTAGACCAAGCTGTGCCTTAGCCAATCAATTCAGACCGGCCTTCTTCCACAGGTGTGTATGGTATGGAAAATCACTCTTAAATATTATTTTGTGTCAGGATGAATGTTGGGGTTTCTTTCCAGTTGGCTTTCTTTAAAGACTGGGAAGCTCTTAAGGTAGGGAGAACAATGGTTCCAGGATGGAAGAAATATACTATAGCCTATCTTCCTTCCATATTTATAAATTCACCAGCCTTTTTGTATATGAGGTCCATTAAAAATGTCTTTATTAATTCATGAGTAGGCTGTGGCTGAAGATATTTCTTATGGACATATGCTAATGTTTTGTCTTAAAGCACTTTGGCAACTACCCTAGGTTTGGGTAGATAATATGCAAAATGGCTTGTTCTCCTTGCTTGTCTTGTTAGCCCTGAATGCTGACAATCATATTAACGTTTATAGCTTAATGCTTGTGATTTTGAATTGATAAAAAAGGGGTCTTGAAGAGAACTGGCTCGAGAGAAAAAAATGTTATAAAATAAATCTGAGCATTTCCCAGTCCTTAAGCCTAAGTTATTCTATGTATTATATTTTTATAGAAAGACTTAAGTGTCCACTTAAGGAATAAAATGCATAAAAACAGATGTAATTCCAGACACAAGTGTACATGCAGCCCGTGAATGATTCTGGAAGATTAAATTGGAGAACTCTAGGATTGTTTATATATTGTGACCTCTGCATGAATAGTGGCAAAAAGTATTTAAACAATTTCATGTGGCAAACATTTTTTGGTAACATATAACAAAAACTTGCAGCGTTTCACTATATCTATCTATATATGTATGTTTGAAAGAAAACACTGCAGTTTCTTAAGAACACTACCTGTTGCCTCTCCCCTCCTGGCCCAAGCTTATCATGTTGCTCAATATAACTGCCATAGCCAGTTATAATTAGTTGATAGGTCAGCTAACCGATTCCCAAGGACTGTGTTTTTAAAATGGTAGAAGTTACTCTCCTCTTGACAGGAATGCATAAACCTAAAGTGACATGCAATTTCCTGTTTGAGGGACAATGACCTGGACCTAGGCAGGCCGGCAGATATGAAAATGCTGCTACAGTAAAATATGTATGTGTGGTTGAGACTGACTGCAATTCCCAAAAACAGTTTTTAAAGTTGAGATGACTTTCTCTGAAGACCTATTTAGTATAAATAATGTAATGAGATAAAGCTATCAAGAACCACTAAAGATTGTGTTGACTGGTCTTCACAGAAGGAAATCTTCGCTAAAGCTTCTTTTTAAAATGGTCTCCCTATGCATTAAACTGTCCTAAAAATTAATCTATGAAGGCAGCAAGTAAGAGCCATTTAACTAGAGCAAATTCTTGGTAAATGTACTAAAATAAGTGTGCTGTGCTGCAGAAGTAGAAATTTCCATAGTCTTTCTAAAATGACACTCTGATAGAAAGAAGTCCTAAAATGCAAACTAAGGCATCAACTTATACAAAAAATTGATGTCACGATGTCATTAGCATGCCTAGATTCTATCCAGTATCTAGTTTGCAATGAAGAAAACTCCGGGATAGACTTTCAACCATCCAAAATGCCCATTGTGTTATTAAAGGAGCACCCCTGTAAATAGGGTTTCCCTTCACACATAGATTTGTATTCTTGAGCCAGTTAAAGTGTTGCGGTTACTGTCTTGGGGAGATTGTTAGTGTACAGTTTTTCTCAATTTGCTGATTTGGGGGGAGGGGAGGATGACTTAGATCAGTGGTGGCGAACCTGCACTCAGAGTCCTCTCTGTGGGCACGCGCACCGTCGCCCCAGTCCTAGGCCTTCAGCTGGGTTTTATAAAACCTTTTCGCTTTAGGCCTCCGTCGCCGTGTGCAAAAAAACCCCAAAACGTTCAATCAATCAGTCAATTTCAACTTCTTGCAGGGAAAAAAAAGATCTTGCAAAGTTGGAATTGATTGATTGAACTTTTTAGTCCCACCCAGGCTGCCATTACCACCACAGCCACGCCCACCCAATGGGCCATACCCACCCAATTGGCCACACCCAGCCAATGGGCCACACCCACCCGGCACCCAACGATGCATAAATGGGTTTTGGGTTGCAGTTTGGGCACTCGGTCTCTAAAAGGTTCGCCATCACTGACTTAGGTGGAACTTGGCCTCTTTCAAGTATTTTTAATCTCTCTTCCCAGTTCTAAGATCAGTCTTTCTCTCTTTCTCCTTACTTGTCTCCCAAACGTGTTCTTTGAAGTGAGGGGATCCTTCTCCCCTCCTACCCCTTTTCTGTGTGTCGTCAATTCTCACATCCCCCGTGGCATCTCCCTGCCTTGCACCCACTCTCCCCCTGTGTGGGGCCTTCAAAACCATGGATGACTCGGAAGTGGAGTCGACTGCCAGTATACTTGCCTCCGTCAAAGAGCAGGAGGCACAGTTTGAGAAGCTGACACGGGCACTGGAGGAAGAACGGCGCCATGTCTCTGCACAGCTGGAGCGTGTCCGTGTCTCCCCACAGGATGCCAGCCAAACAATGGCCAACGGCACCCTCACCCGCCGGCACCAGGTAACATCTAGTGATGTGCTCAAGCGGGATATTTGTCTTCTTCTGATTGTGTGGTTCCTGCTGGAGGGCTACTGCGGTAGTTTGGTTTCTGTTGGAAATACTTGGTGGAGCAGCTTGGTCCAAGAACTTCAGGTTTCTGCTGTCTGCATAGCTAAGTGTTGATGAGCGTATTTGCCAGTATTCATAGAGCTGTGTTGGTTAAAGGCTATCCAGTGTGGAAATTAATTAATAGCGGTCTCATCCAATTTCACTGTGTCTGGCTAATGTTTAAATTCATTGTACTGATTACAGGTGCACTTGTAGTGTCAACTGAGAATGCAGGTTCACTGTTTGTTTTGTGAATGCATAGTATAGTCGTGGAGATGTTAGTAATAAGTCACTAGATTACAAAATACCTTTGATCTTTTGGAAACATATATTATGCATATATATTAATACTCTAAGGTTTCTTAATTGCTCTTCCCATGTCTAATAAAAGCTCCTTGTGATGGTTTTTGTGAAAAGAGAACCCTAAACAGATGAAATGGACAAAAAGGGTAACGAGCAGATTTACTGACTAAGGAATGCCAGACAGTAAACAAAGCTCTCTTTGCTCTTGATGACAACATTTGTACAAGATGATGATAATAAAATGTCCTCCAATATGACTATCAGATCCTGAAACTATTGACATAAGAAGCATGAAATAGGACTAAGGAAATGTGTCTGCCAGCAGCCATAAGTGAGGCATTAAATGAATTTGATTAAGCTTTTGCACCAAGCTCATCTTGCTTTTCCCCTTGGTTTTGGCTTCTACTGGCTATTCAGGTTCTGCCCTTTTATCCTAAAAGTGTGCAGATGAGCAATTAGCCAATATTAGATAATGTTAAACTTGTACTTAGAATAAATACTGCATACCACTTCAAATTTTCATACGCAGAAGGGCAGAGTTCCCATCCAAATAGTGGGCAGAAATTACTTTGGATGCATGCAGAAAGACGTAATTGTAAAGATGATAAACAGGAACTCCCTACCGTAAAATTTTTAAATGCATTTTTCCTTTTTCCTTTTGGACAGTGAAGGGCAGTGTCTGTAAGTAGAACTAGATGGCGGAGACCAGGTTGACATTCTTAAGAGGTTTTATCAATAGGTTGCTTTTCTGAACGATTTCTCATTTGCTGTTTTGAGCTTTTGGGGGCCTATAAGGACTGGGACAGCATGGACTTAGTATTTATAAATTTTGGAACATATAGTGTTCAACTTGCACATATTATAGATGTTAATAGATGGATAGAATAATATACACCTGTTTCTTTATCCCTATGGAGAAATGTAAACCTAAGATACTACCTACACTGTATTGCTAATATTATCTTGTCACTTTAAAATCAAAGCAGCCTCATTTCTAAATATTTGGCATTGTAGCCTTATGTGGGATTCAGTGTAAATAGATTGAAGTGCTCATTTGTCACACATGCCCCCCCTCTCCTTCCCTCCCTCCTCTCCCTCCTCCCAGCTTTCTGATTCTGCTCATAAATTCATCGCTATTATTTTTTGCAGAACGGCCGTTTCTTGGGCAATGCTGACTTGGAGAGGCAGAAATTCTCAGAATTAAAGCTCAACGGACCACAGGTAGGAAAAGAAACCAAAAACCTCTTTCTAATAAAGCTTACAGAAAGCTCTGAAACTGTTTGGAAAAGATCTTAGATAATTGGTTGGAATCTTAGCAAGATCCAAAGATTTTTTTAAATAAAAGTTGAACTCTTACATGGATAAAAGATGTGAAGGAACACCTTGGTGACTAAATTTATGAAGAGAAAATCCATGACCTTCCATTCTTATTTGGTGGTTTGCTACTTGACTAATAGATTTTCAAAGTAATTAAGTGTAAATTATAACCAGGGTTCATGGATCACTGAGTATCTGTGAGTTTTTGGCATGAGTTTTTCATATTATAGTGGGTGCTAACAAACATTACATAGCAATTTGTTGCTTTCAGAGGCTTGAGCATAAAATATTTTTTTATAAATATTTGGTGTCTGACCTGTAAGAAATGACTTCTTAGAGCAGGGGTGTCAATCTGCCGGCCCGCGGGCTGGACGCGTCACAAGGAAATCACAGCCACCCCATTGCCGGCAATGGGGAAAAGTTCCGATATGTCACGTGACGTTGCGTGTTTGACATGTCTGTGTTGGAGTATTGTTTGCACAGAAATAGGTTGATGGGTTTCCCCCTCATGTTCCTAGGACCATAGTCATCTCATATACAGCACCATTCCCAGGATGCAGGATCCAGGACAAATTGTGGAAGAGACATACAGCATGGAGGAGGACCCAGAAGGTGCCATGTCAGTTATTTCAGTAGAGACCTCAGATGATGGGACAACCCGTCGTACAGAGACCACGGTGAGAGCCGAGGGAGAAATGGCGAGAGTGTTATGCAATATGTCTGGGAGGATTTCTGTAGGGAAGAGGTGATGCTTATGGTTGCCAGATGCATGGTGTTGAGTAACCTGTAATAGCAGATAAAAAGCATATAACACAAATAATGCTTTTCTATTTTTGTCACTGGCTGCTGCCTTTAGTGATCTGAGGTAGCTTTCACCTGGTGATTTATTCGGTTTATAATTTCAAAAGATCAGTGCAGACATAACATAGAAAGTTTATTCAGTACAGAGAAAGCTGCAAGATGGTTGCTTTTTGGCACATTAGTTATGCTTTCTCAGTCTGGTTGGCGTTAACTGTTATATTGACATAAAGTCGATAATCAGTATAAGGAAACCATTATTAGCAGATCTGAAAACCTGGAGTTGTTTTTGGCTCGTCACGAAGAACAGAGCATATGATCCTGCCAATAGCTTTTGGCTGGCTACGCCAGTGGTGGCGAACATATGGCACGGGTGCCAGAAGCGGCACTCAGAGCCCTCTCTGTGGGCACAGTCGCCCCAGTCCTAGGCCTTTAGCTGGGTTTTATAAAACCTTTTCGCTTTAGGCCTCTGCCGCCGTGTGCAAAAAAAAAAAAAGGTTCAATCAATCAGTCAATTTCAACTTCTTGCAGGGAAAAAAAAGATCTTGCAAAGTTGGAATTGATTGATTGAACTTTTTAGTCCCACCCAATCTGCCGTTACCACCGCAGCCACGCCCCAGCCAATGGGCCACACCCACCCGGCACCCAACGATGCATAAGTGGGTTTTGGGTTGCAGTTTGGGCACTCGGTCTCTAAAAGGTTCGCCATCACTGGGCTATGCGTTTGGTACACTTGTATTGTGTGGCGTGTGGTTGGGATTCTATCAACCACAGAAACAGTTCTGCAGGTGTTCTTGTTGCGTGAAAAGTGTTGGATTTAATTTTTCTGTAGTCCAGGAGTTTCAGGGATCAGAACATTTTCTAGGAAATGCTGCAGGACAAGATAAATATTTGAAGCTGAATATACAGGGCATGACTTGAGGTAATAGAGAGTGGTGTCCTGTGGAATTAATGACGAAATGCACTGCAGCGCACGAGCAGCGTTACCAGCTCTGCCCTCAGAACTATTGTGAGGTGACAAGGCGATGTCGGAGAGCTCATTCTTAACTATTCTGTAGGTGAAAAAAGTTGTGAAGACCATGACCACACGTACAGTGCAGCAAGTTGGCCCCGATGGGTTACCTGTTGATGCTTCTCCAGTTACCAACAACTACATCCAGACCATGGATAGGAATTTCAGAAAGAACACAAACGGTGGCCCTGGTGCCTACATGAGCCAGCCGGGTACGGCCACCCTTCCACGAAACTATCACTACTCAGATAGTTACGGGCGGCCATATGAAGATAGCTACCATGGCAGTGAACACAGCTACGGTAGCCTATCCCGGGTGACCCGGATTGATGAGCGCTACCGACCCTCCGTGGATGGCTACCGGGCTCCCAGCAGGCAGGATGTCTATGGTCCCCAACCGCAGGTGCGAGTAGGGGGGAGCAACATGGACTTGAACCGCTTCCATGCCGAGCCTTATGGGCTGGAGGATGACCAACGCAGCACGGCGTATGATGACCTGGATTACGGTGCCGTGCCAGAATATGGGACAGCAAGGCGGACTGGGACACCTTCTGATCCCCGCCAGAGACTCAGGTAAGAGGATAAGCTTAGCATATTTTAGCCGTCCTTGGCAATGTTTTGGTGTTTCTCCCATGCTGTAGGGCAGAATCTTTTAACTACCCTTGAAAAGCGATTGTAGTACCGAGTAACCGGGACATTTCTAAAGCAACCAGGACAGTTCTGGGATAAATTTAGTATGGTAAATGGCTGTTAAACGGAGACTATTTGTGTATTAAAAATTCTTCAGGGGGAATCTTGCTCCCTCTCTTCTAAGTTTGCATGCAGGGAAGAATTACATCATAACTATGCTGAGATGGTTATTTGTTCCAGTGGCACAAATCTGTATAACCGAGTCTCATTCCCACTAATGTGATAAATCCTAGCCTAGGCAAGCTGCATGAAATTGCAGGTGGGGAAGCGAGAACTCCAATAATAGGAAAGGTTCAAGTAACAAAAAGAATGCAAGCCTCCAGCTCCAAGTTTGTATTTTAAGGCGCTGTCTAGTCTACTTCCTAATACGCCTGTATCAAATGCTGCTCCATAAGAGATCCCTGCCTTCTAAATGCCTATTTGCAACCTTAAGCAGTGCAGCTCAATCTTTTACTATCTTAGTAAGCACAAGACTATTTTTAAACATACAGGGATTTTTTTTTCCTGTTTTTTTCTCAGCTCCTTCCTGAAAAAAAAATTAAAACTCTGGAAATGGTCAACACTCCTCAACCCAATGAATTGCTTTCTTTTAGAATATGGAATTCTATATTGGCACATTTGCCTTCTATTCCTGCCTTCATTTTTTTCCGATTGACTTTTAATGGGAAGATTTTATTCCAGAACAGTGGCTCTCAAATGTTTTGATTTCAGGACCTTTTACATTCTTAAAAATGATTGAGGACCCTAACTAGCATTGATTTGAAACTGACACGTTTAAAAACATTTGATTTTGCAGACCCCTTGCAAGGCTCTCAGAGACCCCTAGGTCACCCCAGACTGTACTTTGAGAACTGCTGCACTAGAGTCTCTGAGGGCTGGAGTTTTTATTTATTATTATTTTTTTATTATTTAATTTGTATACCGCCCTTCTCCCATAGGACTCAGGGCGGTTCACAGCATATTAAAAACAAATAATATACACAAAATACAAAAAATACAAAATACAAAAATACAAAAATACAAAAAAAATAAACCCCGATAAAAGCCGAATTAAAACCAAATATTACCAGCTGTGTTTCCGATTAAAATACTTTTAAAAT